CGCTGGCGGTTGGCGCTGAGGTGTTCGATGGCATCTCCGCCGACAATGCCGTCGCAAGCGGCGACCTGCGCAGGCCAGACGAACGCGCCCACGTCGTCGATGCCTAGGTCGCAGGACTCGTTCGGGATTTGTGTACTCGTGATCCGCAGCCCCCCCAGGTACTGCGTCAAATAAGTCACTGTCACCAACGTGGACGCCAGCAGCAGCAACATGCCAAACAACCAACGTAGGTCCGCCGCCGGACGCGCCTTCGCCACCGCCAAGTCATACTCCTTCTCGGGTCCGTCCAACAGCCGCTCTAACTCCTCCGTCGTCGTTCGCCGCATCTCCCCTTCGTCGCCCGTGTCGCTGGGCGAGTCCTCACGATAACGGGGCGCGATCACCCCCTCCTCAACGGCCGCCTCGTGCGCCTCGTGGGCTGCCGCCTCCTGGGCTGGTGGCGTCTGAGTCGCTGGCGCTTCTGGAGTCCGGTCTTGAACCGGCCCGAGAGGCGGTGTCAAGGTTGGCTCTTGATTATCTAAAGACTGCCCACGGTCCGCCATCACCAAACAAATTAGGTGCAGAGGTGCAACGGAGCGCCCGCCCGCAAGTGCAACGGAGCGCCCGCCCGCAACTGCAACGGAGCACCCGCAACTGCACCTGACAACACACACAGTTCAAGTAACCTGACAACACTAAGACCAGGCTGTACCAAAAACATTACGTGTGGGAGGTCAGTAGTGCCCAGGAGGGGCCCGGGGTTAGTAGTCAATAAAAAGCCCGCCAGGGGTGCGGGTGGGTGCGCCGTAACAAGAGCACTAACTGAATGTAACATTGCAAAAATTCGGGCTTCTCATCGCCACCCTGTCACTTGCTGAAAAATCCCAACAGTGAGTCTCTAGAACCTTGGCCCTGAACTCACAATCCTCGTACGGTCATGCTTTAGTCATGCATCCGCCAGGATCCACGGTAAAACCTAAATCAATCATTAAATCCGTTAATTATCATTAAATCCGTTAATTATCATTAAATCAGTTAATTATCATTAAATCCGTTAATTATCATTAAATCCGTTAATTATCATTAAATCCGTTAATTATCATTAAATCAGTTAATTATCATTAAATCCGTTAATTATCATTAAATCCGTTTATTGTCAAATTAAATGAACGTGTCATCATCCATGTAGTCGTAAGACTCAAGGCTCACGCTGGCGCCTTCACTGATTCCTTCCGGATACTCGTCCTCGCCGCCTCTGAAACGGTACACGGCGCCACCCACCCCCATAATCACGCCGGCCGTCGCAGCAGTTATGCCAATCGCGATTCCGTGACTCGAGCTGCCCGTCTCCGCCTTCGCGGTCGGCTCAGTCGTGGTCGGCTCAGTTGTAGTCGTCGTGGTCGTGGTCGGCTCAGTGGTAGCCGTCGTGGTCGTGGTCGGCTCAGTTGTAG